AAATGATTCATCAGAGATCTAGTAGACCTAGTCCGCCTAGCCTGCTAGGTAAAGTTGCGCTGTAAACACGCATACTTGTAAGTTGTAACGTTATTATTAGGCCTATACATACGATTGTTAACAACCGGTTCGTGGAGGTCATTAAATTCTAAGAACAGGTTCGTGCGAACCGGCTGAATCCCACCACTGCTTGTAGCTGTATACAAACTGTTTTTGTAATTTATGTATTTCTCATTTTTCTAATAGTATTAAATATTCTGTACCAATTATTGAAAGGATTGTATATAAATTATATTGTGTGTTGCTATTTTTATTCTTCTTTTTTTTTGAACAAAAACTTTGAAATCTAGACCATCATTAATGAAATGAGTAATTATTTAATAATATTGGGTTTTCATGCCTTAAATACTTTTTTTTTACTGTAGTTTCTAACTGACTGAGCTTCAAGTTAAAAATTATTAGGTTCATTAGTTAATTTGGCCATATATTTAATATATTTTATTTTAGCTCTAATGTTACATAAGGCTGACCCTCAAGGCTCTAAAACCTGGACAGGTAAATGGCCAGAAGCTTTTCAGGCCCTTCCATACCATTTATGCAGGGCATCTTGCACTAAATATCTATCAGAAATCTTCTGTGACCTCAGCTTTATTGAGGCTTATTTTCGACTTGGTCAAGGATCATGCTTGCTGGACAATTTCAACTCTTTGCTTATCACTGGGATATCAACAGTAAAAACATTTAACAAAGATGAGAATTTGAACAAAAAAGTTTCAGCTTACTACCAGTTTATATCTCGAAACCTTCACATTTTGTTGAGGTTAGTAGTTTTGAGCATAACTTCCTACTAAAATAATAAAAATGTAGTGTTGATTTTTTTATATACGGAGTGTGATAACACCTCTTATACCACACTGTAAATATTATATCCTCAATAAATGAGGAGTGTGAAAACACCTCTTATACCACACTTCTCACCTCTCTGCTTCATGGTCAAGAAACAATTTATTATTGCATTTCACAATGACAAAATCATAGATAGTAGTACTCAAATGTAAATGGACAATTAAATATCAGTAGAGTGATATACACAAAACATACTTGTACACTTCAAAAATAATGATTGAAACAGATACACTGTAGATATTATATCCTCAATGACTGATTTACAGTGTGGTATAAGAGGTGTTATCACACTCCTCAGTCATTGAGGATATAATATTTAAGGGGGTGTATAAGAGGTGTTATCACACTCCTAAGTCATTGAGGATATAATATTTACAATGTGGTATAAGAGGTATTTTCACACTCCTCAGTCATTGAGGATATAATATTTACAGTGTGGTATAAGAGGTGTGTATCACACTCCTCAGTCATTGAGGATATAATATTTACAGTGTGGTATAAGAGGTGTTATCACACTCCTCAGTCATTGAGGATATAATATTTACAGTATGCATCTCCAACATCAAAATCATTTCTATGTTTATGCTCGCAGTTCTAATACCATTGCACATTAATTTTAAATAGAATGTAAATGATGTTTTTGTGCTACTGTTTAAGAAAAATTGTAAATATGGCACATCATACCTGAAAATGTATTATTCCATTTCAGTGTTACTTACCATGTTTGTGTTGCTTTTTGTTTTGTTAGCGAGAAGCATTATATGTATGGTGTTTTGATATGTCTTATACTCAGACAGTGATCTTAGGGCCCAGCCTAGCCAGGTGGTTAGAGTGCTCGACTCGCAATCTGAGGGTTGCAAGTTCGAATCCCCGTCCCATCAAACATGCTTGTTCTTTCCACCATGGGGGCATTATAATGTGATGGTTAATCTCACTATTCGTTGGTAAAAGAGTAGCCCAAGAGTTGGCAGTGGGTGGTGATGACTAGCTGCCTTCCCTCTAGTCTTACATTGCTAAATTAGGGATGGCTAGCACAGATAGCCCTTATGTAGCTTTGCACGAAATTCAAAACGAACAAACCAACAGTTATCTTATATTTATATAGGAATTTCAAGAATAAGCATCATTGATGCTACTAATTTATTCTTCTGAATTATTCAGCTGACAAACTTTTTAAAATACTAAAAAATAAATTTGAAGCTTAATCTATCATTTGATTTACCACTTGTCACCGAGTTATATCAGTTTTGGGGTATTCCAACCCTGATCAGTAACCCTTTTGATTTGCCATGGTCCAGTAAAATTCAAGGAACATGTGGTCTTCACATGTTCACTGATTTCCATCTAAGATTATTTGAATAAGAGCCACAGAACATAAGGAGGTTTCAACAGAAAATGTATTATGGTGTGAATCTGAATTCTCTGACCTCAACTAAATTCAAAGTAAAGAAAGAGTGGAAACAAAGTGAAACACACTGAAACAACCTTTACTGAACACCCAAACAAATTAATCAAATTAAAAGTTTATTTTGTGACACCTTTACGGGTAACGGGTTCAAATCCCATCACCAAACATTCTCGTCCTATCAGCCGTGGGGGATGTTATAATTTGACATTCTATGCCAGTATTCGATTAAAATAGCCTAAGAGATGGTGGATAGTGTTGACTAGCTGCCGTTCCTCTAGTCTGTCATTTCTAAATTATGGATGAGAAGTGGAGATAACCCTCAAGCAAACTTTGCAGAAAAAATCTAAAACCAAAGCTGTTTCTGATTAAGTAAATACATCATTTTGTACATTAAACAATAATACTACTATTCTAAGGATGCAAGCACTACCTATATAATATGTAAGAAACACATAGTGTGCCTGCATATACCACATACATAGTGAGTTTTCTGTATGTACCAGACTGCTTATAACGAAAGCAGAAATGCCTATTGCAAAGATGTTATTACGTATATAATTTCACAATAGCGCCTACAAGAAGAGTTTTACGTTAGAAACATCAAACAGTAAACTTATGTGCTGTAAAAAACAAGCATGAAATGATATTCTTTGAAATTCTTACAGTAATATTATACATTTAATCACAAATGAAAAGTAAAACAGCTATAAAATGGTGGAAAAACTTTAACATCTGAATGTTTTATTATTTATAAATTATAACTTCACAACAATAGTTAGTAAATTTGGAATTTTCACATAAAGTATCTATTAAATATTAAAATGATACACTGACAAGAACTTTGGTATATAAATTAAGATATATATTTGTTTTGGGTGTTCAAAGGTACCCCAGTTTGGTACGACAACAGGCCCTTAATGAACCAGACTCTTCGTGCGTGTATACTGATGCAGTACAAAATACATCGGCTTGGGCCATCCACTGGTTAACAAGGCCTCAGTTCCCTGAACCCCTTAGGTTGACATTATCTGAATTCAGAGAGGTAAGTAGTTCCTACAGCTGCACATATAAGCTTATCTTTATGTCTTGCCATTAATGTCTTAAGATGCTGATGGAAAGGTTGTTTTTATGGCTTTTCCTCATACGGTCATATTTTATGGGAAGAAATATAACTTATGAAGTTGTAGAACAATTTTTCCATGATTAAAGGTGAGCAACCAAGAGGCCTTATTAGCACCTATTCATCTTCATGTACAAGCTATTATAAATTAAAATATAGGCTTGTACTTGTATAACTGTTCTCTGTTTATGTAGAATGTGTATAGAGCTTTTATCTGAAAAACATATAGAAACACTGAAATAATAACTCCAAAGGAGGTTATTGGTTAGTAAAATTTAAATAAGTAAAATATGTGTAATAACTATTTTTAATTAATAATTCAGAAACATATAGTCTTTGTTTTTGTAAGTAACCCTGTAATTATAAAAGTAATCATTATATTATTAACAAATTAACTCGGTGAAATACACATAGGTTCATTGATATTCCTTTTGGAATTGTATAATAATGTATTTGACCCAGTAAAACAGACTTGAAGCTATACAAGTACCTTGTACTATACATACATTGTAGTATGAAGCGATGTTAAAGTTATGGTAAACTTGATTTTTTTTCCTTCATTTTTAACAGTTTTTCTGAAAGTTTTTCAAATATAAAGCAATACTCTTTTGGCAGTCTTTATTTTTTGTAACATTCATCATCTATTTTCTAACCCAGTACTAAAGCTTTCTTTGTTTGTATAAAAACATTAACATGGTAAAAAAATCTTTAGTCTAATCCAGCATTATGGTCCTGGATTTTTGTTATTTTCTTAGTTACATACAACTTTTGGTTTTTGGGTTTTAATGATCAAGGTTTTGTTTTTTAAAAGATTTTATTCAATGTTAAAACCATAACAGGAGTTTTATAGAATATCTTTGGGTTTTAATGATCAAGGTTTTGTTTTTTAAAAGATTTTATTCAATGTTAATGATATTCTATAAAACTCCTGTTATGGTTTTAACATTGAATAAAATCTTTTAAAAAACAAAACCTTGATCATTAAAACCCAATGATCTTCTATAAAACTCCTGTTATGGTTTTAACATTGAATAAAATCTTTTAAAAACAAAACCTTGATCATTAAAACCCAAAGATATTCTATAAAACTCCTGTTATGGTTTTAACATTGAATAAAATCTTTTAAAAAACAAAACCTTAATCATTAAAACCCAAAGATATTCTATAAAACTCCTGTCTTTATTTGGTCAGTTATAATGTTTTTACATCTATGTAGTTGGTTCTTATTTCTCATATTAAGACTAATTAGTATTTGTACTTCAGTTATTCTGTCTCTCTTTCTGTAGCCAATACAGTGTCTGGCAGTTTCAAGGAAGGGTGATATTGCTGGTTTAGGAGGACAGGATGGTGTAATAAGACTTATAGATGTCCAAACTGGTTCTGTAAGTGCTTTTTTTTTATGATTTTGAGATCTGTGTCAAATGTGCAGCCTTTTAAGGTGGATGTAATGTTAAAACAGGTAAGATGATTCTAAATGGAAAAGCCAATATGCAATCCAGACTAGTAGGATAAAGGCCTTTCTTATGATATGAGATTTGTATCATTTGATCGAGAAATTTGTGAGAAAAGTTCTGGAGAGGAAAACGCAAGTGTATTATTTATTTGTTCACATGACAATATGAGATTGTATAACAGTGGTCTTACTGTTATTTTCTGATTTAGTGTTTTACTCCTTGATCTGACTGCTCTCCTGAATAATTCTAGCATGGGAGGTAAAAAAACTATCTATAATCAGATGTTCCAGTATGACAATTAATAATAAGATTAAGCCATCAAAATACAGCAAAAATTTACAATCTCATCTATATGAGTATCACTGTCGTTGTGAATTTCCTTCCTAAGTAGTCATCATAAATATTCTGCATAAGAAAATAACTTGCATATCTCACAGGAATATAGGCTAAACCTTGGTACCACTTTGAGTGCCTTTGTTAGTTTTTTTTCAAATGGCACCAGCAGTGGTCTAGTGTTGCAGTAAAACCATGCTCTGCACTTTAGGGCCATGAGTACATTATAAAAGTAACTTCAAATTCCACTTTGATAAGACTAACCAAAGAGATGGCAGTGGGTAATACTAACTAGCTGCCTTCTCTAAGTAGGAGATTCTGACTAGATGACATCCTTCAGTGGGTAATTCTGACTAGCTGCCATCCCTTTAGTTTTTCAGTTCAAAATTTACTCTCTCACTACATGCTCTGTCCCAGGGACCAATTTCGTACTATTTGGTGCTTGTTATAGTTTTCATACTATGACTTTTAATGCAGTATGTGTATCTTCACAAAATTTTAAAGATTATCAGTAAACAATACAAGGCTTTAGTACACAATATATCTGATTTTGTTTATTAAGTTTTAAGATTTTTGAAGCAATGAGTTGCCTGCACATTTTTTTTATTTTTAGAATTTTGACTATCCAAAAAACAATAATTTTGATTTTAAGATTAAAAATACTTTTATGCATCAGAAAATTGTCAAGTTATAACCTCCTAATAACCACCAGATAATTATCAAACGTTTTGTTTTTGAAAGAACTTTATATTTTATCTGTTATTTCACTATTGTATCTCTGTATGAGTTTAGTCTATTTGACTGACCTCATAACCAACGTAAAAAATTAGGAAATGGATATAAATTACACATTTTTTGTTCTTGAATGACTACAAATTATAACAAGAATCCATAAATGTTTACTCTAAATAGCTTAAATCTCATAACATTATACATCTATATATATATATATATATATATATATATTATTTTTATTTTATTGACCTTTAAGCTCTGTCTAACTAACATTACAAAAGTTGCATTGATGCGGCTCGGTGCACTCGTGTAACTGTATTCAATAGTATAAAATTGGCTTTTACAAATTGATCTGTCTACGGTTTGTTCTAGTGGACCAGTATTTTGTAAAATACAGTCGCGTTTCAGTTATAATACATTATATATGTATATATATTATTATCTTTACAAATAAGTTATAAAATTTGGATTAGTTTTCTTAAAACATAGAACAGTATATAAAGAAATATAGAAAAACAATGATTTTTTCTACTTACAAACTTTTTACTTGTTTGCCTGCTTGTCGTAATTTGGTAAGCCTTGTCAAATTTTTCACGTGGAGGATGTAAAAGAAAATATTTTTTTTTAGGTTTTATATATGCATTTTGAAAGAACCAAATACTATAAATGACTATTGATATTGCAGTAATCCAGCGTAATTTATCAGACTTACTAACTAAACTGTATTTGGGTAAAAAAAAATATTGTGTTTTGGACAAAATTTTCACTTACCCATTCCTTCCAAGATCCGAAACAAAGAAATAATCTTGGGAACTTTCAACCTCCTAGAGGCTGAGAAAACAATGTGGAAGACATTCTGAGCTTTTACTTGGTTATTTACACGTCATAGACAGAGTAGGTGTACGTAAGCAAGCCAAAAATGAAAGAGGTGGGCGGGGCCCACTGTGTTTGATTTACTAAATGTAGTGATATCTCAGAAGAAAAAAAGGAAGTTTTATTTTATATTCTAGCTTGTCAATATCAGTAATTTGAGTTTTTAATTCATAAGAAACTATAGAATTTGTACATCACAAACATCTAATTCGAATCAAAGCTGCATTAAATATATCATGTGACACACAAAAATTGATATTTATGAATTTTGTTTTTATAGTTGCTTTTAAATTAAGAAATTAACTAATATATATAATACTAAAATTAGAATTATAATGTACAATGTGATACCAAACATATTGGCATACATTCATAAAATAGTAGATCAATAAAATTTTGAATGTAAGTCTACAAACATGATGGCATGCCCTTTGACCCCTGACCTATAGGAAGACCTATAGTGAGAGGGTTAAGAAACTGCTAGTGCAGATAACTCCACTTTTAAGTAGGACTTTGTGTTGGAGAATATATTTTTTTTGGATAATAAATGAACAATTAGTACATTTCAATTGTAAAGTTTGGGGTTTATTAAAATAGATTATTACCTTGCTGGCTGTCACATGCTGTAATACTAAACCATGCTTAAGAAATAAATTTAGCTGATGATGATTTGTAGGTGTACATTGTCATCGATTTGATTCAACACTTAGTACCTGATTTTTGGGATTGTTTACAAGAGTATATGCTGCTACTCTCCTGTAGAAATAGTTACTGTTCTTAATATCTTCAATATCTTTGTTACAGATAAAACGTACATTAACAGGCCACATTCAGAAAATAACAAGTATATGTTTTGTGGGAAATGACAAGTTATGCAGTTCTTCAGTAGATAAAAGCTTATGTTTGTGGGACATAACAAGAGGATATAGGTAAGAAAATATTTAACTTTTTTTAGCAAATCAATATCTGAGGAATCACCTATTACAAAGTGTTGTCTTTTAGAATTAACAAAAGACATTTCTCACAGTGAAAGTTATAGTCTGAAATGAATTATTTAGAAACTCAGAGTATTATAAATAAATTATTCCAATTATATATTTAAATATAATTTATAATGTCAGATTTACATACAACCTTGACCAGACAAAACAATAAAATGAAAGAGACTTATGAATAAACTAAAATATTATAAATTCACAGTTAAATTTATGGGAAAAATACAACTTCTCTTAGCTATTAGCTTTAAACTTTGTTGAACTGCATAGATATAAAAAACGCAAGGTATATGCTTCTATTTTTTGTAAGTACAAGACATATTAATTGAAGAAAAAAATTTGAAGCTTGAAGCTGCATAAAATCTCACCTATTTTTACAAATATTGATTTGAATCCGTTTATCACTCTAGACTTGCTTTTTTAACACCTACTGTTTATGTTGTTGAATATTTTGAATCGTCATTTGTTTTGTAAGTATCATCCAAGTGATATTTTACTGATACTGAACATATATCACCAACTTTACTCAGAAGGGTTTTTCTCATTCTTCTTTTCTTTGAATTTAGTTATTAATATCCACAATCACATGTGTGACTGAGGCCTAATTTATATACATAGATAGATAAACAGATTTAGATAATTTTCAATAGTCAACACAACTATATAGTTGTTGTTTTTAATTCTACTGTAAAGCATTTTTCATTCTTCCCACCTTTCTGTTTAAGTATTATTACACACAGTAGCATTTGTATAAATCAAGGCCTAGTTTCCATAGAGAAAAGTTCAATGACTTTTAACAGTTACTCGTCATAACTAAGTGGTTTTTTATTCCAGTGAGATTTCTTTTTGATATTATGTATATTTCCTTCAACATATATTAAATGTTGCCAATTCCACTGCTTTTAGATTTACCTCAGTAATTAACTAATTTTCACACAGAAAATTGATTTATGTCAAGTTGTTACAGTAGTTATTGCTCAAATTTAATGAAGGTATATAAAAGGTAAGTGTCATTGGCATTCTTCAGTGGTTATAGACTATTCATGTAGTTAATTTGCCTGGATAACTTTAAAGATGTCTGGAATACTTAAAGAAATGTGCACATAATTTCTTATACTTGCTAATGAAATCATTTAACTATGGGTATTTACATGTACGCTCAGTGTATGTTTACTAATTGTTATTTAAAGATCCTGGGATTAGTATGGCCTTGTGGTTAGTATGCCAAGCTGTGGTTTGGAAGGTTCAAAGCCTGAGTCATGAAATGCCTCTGTAAATGCTCTGCACTTTCAGTTGTGGGAAAATTATGATTGTGACTGTCACACCATGCTATTTGGTAGTAGGTGCATCTGACTGGTTGTCCCTTTTCTGACTAGCAGTATTAAATTAGAGGTTGCTAAGTTTGAACTTTTGGGTGTCTGTCCTGGCTATTTAGCACATTACATACGTTGTTACTCAGGTTGAAAATAGCAAATACCTACAAGCTGCAAGATGACTTTTTGTATTTTGGAGATTTTCTTGTTGTAATGATTTGTTTTACTTAGTATTATTTTCCAGGTGTTTTATATAATACTTGAGGTTTTTATACATAACATTCATTATTCATTGTAGATTCATCTCTTAAAAATTATTTTAATTCTTGCTGAGTTTTATTCAGAGAAAATTCTTATTTAGACCTATATTGCTTTGTTTTGTAAAAAGAAATAATTAAAATAATATGAGTTACACTAATATCTTTTTTTTTTTGGTTGTTACTACAGAATTGGAGTTTTAGATGGTCACATAAGAAGTGTAACTTCCTGTGCTTCTGATCCTGATGGAACCACCATTGTTTCTACAGGATGGGACAAAACAATAAGAATCTGGAGTGGGAAAGACTGTAGAGAAATTACCTGTATTAAACAGAACAAGTAAGGATTGTTGTTCAGGAGTAAAAGTCAGAAGTAAAGAAGTAAAATTATTATGAATATGTGTATGTAGTAGGAGCTTGTAAACCAATAATTTACGAGGTTTTGAAAATAGAATTCAAACCAAATATCCAAAAATGCATTCCAACCATGTAATAGACTGAGTTACCCAAGATTTGCCCCAAATTAATTAGTCTTTTCAGTATGTGTGTAATTCCTAAATAAGGAGTTAAAATATCACTCAGAGTAACATAAAAAACATGCAAACTACATGTGGCTACAGGTTCATAGACATTAACTTCTAATACAAATAAGTGTTTCAATGAAAAATGTATATTTTTCAGTGCTGTATACAGTTAGAACTGAGCAGTTAACTTGATCAGTTGATTACCTTGAGTATCAATTAAATTTATTAATTTCATGAAACTAATTAGCTTATCAAAGTGCACTGGTTTTCATTCCTTCCTGGTGCATCGGTTGTGATTTATTGTAACGGTTGAAGTAATAAGGCATAATAGCACATGTATTACATCATCTGTATACTTTATCATTAAAGTCAAGTGTTAAATTATTAATTTTCATTGAAAATTCTATAGTTTTCACTGTACTAGAAATATTGGTAGGATCCTAATTCTTAAATCTTGGTGAAAAAAAAGAAAGATGCAGTATCAAAATTATTTGTTTTATATGAGTTGCATTCAACTGTGGCATGCATAAAACAGAAATACTGAATAAATACTTTTCTTGGTTACTTGTGTGGATTATCAGAATACTTCCTTTATTTTGCTTTTCAAATTTACGGATGTTTAGAACCATCTATAAGTTATGTAAGTGCTTAACATTTCTTACAGATGTATATACTACCTGAATACTTTTTCATTGCATAGAATGTTTATTAAGACTCATTCCAGCATGTTCAGTTATGCTAATTGTAATATGAAATCATATTCCAACTTCAGCAGTAGAAATGTGCATAAATAAAGTCTACTACTCTGTGTTTGAAGACATAAAAAGGTTGGTGCTGAGACGGCCAAACTTGTGGAGCTAATATAGTTTGAAATTACATTCCTCATTGGTCATGATACATGTATAAATTCTTGTTAGTTAAAGTACTTCTATTTCATAAAAAAATTAAAATACGTTATAGTAGAATAACAAGATAATTTATGTTTTAGGAAACCAGTCAGCTGTATAGATTTTCATCCAGAGAAGCAGCTACTGGTTAGTGGAGGATGGGACCAAACAGTTAAACTGTGGGATCTTGTTACAGTTAGAAGAAAAGCAGTGAGTAATCACACTAGTAGAAGTTACTGAGAATCATAGTGAAAAATAACATGATTTGTTTTGACATTTATTTATTCATGCATAGTTGTAACTATTAGGAATTTCACCGATTGTGTTTTTAAGCATGTGTGTTAATCTTTGTTGTTGTTGTTGTGTGTATTTATTGTAAAAGCAGGTTTGAACCAATTTATACCAGTTGTGATTTGTTGTATAGGCAGAGCAGAGGTAAAACATATGGAACTGACACCAAAGAATATAGTAATTAGTATAGTTTTGTGGACACCTTGAATGAGTATGAAGTCAATGGACTTGTCAGACATTGCTGTTATTAAAGTATCATATAATTTTCTTAGATCCTCCATGGTCATAAAGGGTCTGTGCAATTTGTGGCTTTTAGCACTAGTGGTCAACATATTGTGTCATCATCATCCAGAATGGAAGTATTCCTGTGGTCAGCATCTCAAGGTACTCGGGTTAGTGAACTTATAACTTATTTATTTTTATTCAGCTCATTATTATTATTATTAGATAAATCATGGGTTATTCTTGCACTAGATTAAAAGTGTAATTTCCTGTTTAGTTACTTCAGGTTGGCATTTCTCAAACAAATAGATACAATGATAAGAAATATTCATGGCAATAACATCATTTTGAGATGTAGCTTAGTACACTTCACTAGTAATAAATGTATTTACAGCAGGTTTGGTGAAGGGGATTGTAGTACTTCATCTGCTACATTACTCGCATATAATAAATAGTATTCATACTACTAAACAATTAAAAATCTTAGTTTTTGACTCAGGTTTGGTGAAGGGGATTGTAGTACTTCATCTGCTACATTACTCACATATAATATATAGTATTCATACTACTAAACAATTAAAAATCTAAGTTTTTGACTCAGGTTTGGTGAAGGGGATTGTAGTACTTCATCTGCTACATTACTTACATATAATAAATAGTATTCATACTACTAAACAATTAAACATCTAAGTTTTTGACTCAGGTTTAGTGAAGGGGATTGTAGTACTTCATCTTCTAAATTACTCACACATAGAAACTTTGTTGGACTTTAAAAAAAAACAGAACATGACCATAAGCCAAAAATAAAAGATTATTTTGCCTTTGTTTATTGTTATGTGCATTTTATCTCCATGTTTTTTTGTAAGGTTATTATCTGGTGAAGAGGTATTTGTTCAGTTTATCACCAGCTCTAGCTGTACGTTCTCATGGTTGGTTTGTAACCAATGTACAGAATGGCATGTCAGCCTCATGTCAAAAATGTTAAATTGGCAGCTCCAGAATATGTTTTTTATTCTTTTTGTTTGTCTTTATGTACACTATCATGATGGTATTACTTGAAGGCTTTGAACTTATCCCAGTAAAATTATTAACTCTGCAAACTAAAAACAGTGGAAGTTTTGTAAGTAAGATTATTATGCAGACTTGGACCAAAATTTCTTAAGAAAACAAAAATGAAATAATAATAATAATTGTTAATGTATAGCAGAGACGGTTGGTATGGGTATTAAAAACTTTAATTAAATAAAGTACAAATGATGATGACTTAAGAAGGTTGAAACGTTGTTCTTGTACTTTATTTTAATTAAAGTTTTTAATACCCATACCAACCGTCTCTGCTATACATTTTTACTTCAAGTGGGTTTCTTGTCATCATTAATAATTGTTAGTGTTTTGACACTTTTCAGATTGGTAAAATGGAAGGTCATATTCTTCCTGTCACATGTGCATCTTTTTCAATTTCGGAGGACATTATGATCACAGGGAGTAAAGATAGAACCTTAAAGGTATTTGGCATTAAAGTATTGAAATATGTGATATCTTTACATACTATTATCACAATTCTAATGAATACTTAATTAATTTCTTTTTTTCCAAATTCTTTCACAGAGATTTAAATGTATTTCTTGGCTATGCTTTGAAATATTACATTTAGAAAGCTTTTGCCTCCTGATCATGTGAAAATTAACTTTGTTTTGGATATAATGCTCAGAAATATAACTTTACATTATTTTTAGTAAAGATTTTACTATGTTACAGCTGTTGTTTTAGAGCTGTGCTTATTGTTAATTTGTCTTTTAAAATAACACCCCATAGTTTGTTAATATTGTCTTTCCTAAAGTGCCGAGTTTTTAGTTTTTATCTGTATCAAAACAAGAAATAACTGCTACTGTCCTAATCAGCTTATCATCACATAATTATGAAGTTTCCCCCCCTAGAGTTTCTGTATTAAATGTTTTAAAATTGCTATAATTGCAGGTATGGATCAGTTACAGCAAGGCTGTTGTACACACCATACCTCAATCAGTTTTATCTTCAACTCCAACTTGTATGATCTTTTTGGATATTTCTTATGTTGCTGTTGGACAAGAAACTGGAGAAGTCTGTCTGTTTGATACACAAAAAGGTAAAAATCAACGAAAACCTAACCTAATTAGACTATGAAGAAAATATCTGTAATAGAGTAAGTACACAGGTACTGTATGCAGCTTACCAAACATTCTTTAGTAACTTGAGTTGTTAAAAAGTACTAGTGGGTTAATCCTTTAGCTTAGTTGAAAGAGCACTCACCTGGTGTGCGAGAAGTCTAATGTCAAAATCCAAGTTGATGAAATAATTTATTTGAAGTTACCACATTTCTTTGTGACAATATTTACAGATATTGTGCTGTAAATACTTATGCATAATGTTTTTGAATTTTTATTAGAAATTATTTGAAAATGGTAGATGAAGCATTAAAAAATTTTTTTTTGTTTCATAAGGTTTAGAAAGTTTGTTTTGAAGAATTCACAGTGCTTGCTTATGTGTAGAATTTCTAAAGGTTACAGATTATAGTTGATAAATTTGCTTTAAATAATTTTATTTTTTTACTTTATGTTGTAGACATAATGTTTAGCTTTGTTAAAATTCATGTTGGATTGTGTCATACTATTTTTTGTTTTGGTTCCATAAAATATCTCTAATATAAAACTCTTTATAATCTATTTAATATTTATACGAACTACTTGCTCCAGAGTTTTTGAGCATGTATATGAGCTGTTTTAAGACGTTCCCTTTAACTCGTCTGATACATTCAGCTTTGCATCTAGTGGCCTTAATCAGTTTGATGCTGGTATCGTCCCTTATTTTCTCTACTTGTACAGACGTAGTTGTAGAATAATATAATGTGTTAACAGCTTTGTTATTACTTTTATTTAGAATTTACTGTAATTACTTTTTTCTTGAGAGAGAGAGAGAGATTACTATAGCAGAGTTTGGGTATAATAAATTTCACAATTAATACTCTAACCTTCAGTTGCAGAGAAAGCAGTGAATTTGATTTTGCTGAATAAATTAAAATATGAAAAGTTCTTTTCATTAAAAACGTCATTTTTTTATTTTTTAGTTAGAACAAGAAATTTCCAAACATTTTTCAAATGTTATTTGACTAAAAGAAAATCAATTTATTAAAAAAATTAAAACTTAAGTAAATATTGAAGAACTTGATTTCTTGTAGACATATCTCAAATGACTAAAAATATTGTTAATTTTTCTAACTACATAAACAAATTGTACATACAATTTTGAAATAGATGGTATATTTAATTATGGTTTGTTTTATTTTTTCTTATTTCTACCTAGAAATTGGATCAGCCAATATTGTTAAAGAAACATGTTTCTTAAAGTTGTGTTTTGGCCAGTTGCCAAAAAATTGTGCTTCATACTTTTGAACTGTGAGTGCATTATAGAAGTGATTTTCATAACTCACTATTTCAGTTAGAGTAACCCAGAATTGTTGATGGGTGCTTTTGACTAACTGCCTTTTCTCTGATCTCTCAGTTCACAATTAAACAGGCAGTGTAGTTAGCCCTTGTGCCAATTTGCAGAAGTATCTCAAATAAACAAAAGAACACAAAAATAAGGAAGTGTAAACAAAACTTTATTTTCAAATGTAAGATGTAGAAATATCACATTTTTCTATCATACACGTATATGTTTGTACAATGGCCGTTTTTCAGGTTTATACATGAAGTAAACATTTAATGGATTATTTCCTTTTATAAGTTTATTTTTCTTCATTCTCTGTTCAAAAGAAAAAAATAAATAACTTGCATAATTTTTTCTCACTAAGGTGTTCTCATAATTTTTGCTGTTTTAGGATTCTTCTAGCATTTTAAAAATGAAAACATTTCAAAGTTTACATACATTATATATGTATTTTCACATTTCCTTCGATTAAATTATTTCTCAAATAACAATATTGATACTTGTTTTTAAAGACACATTTTTGTGTTTGGTCTAAATTACTCTGTATAGATTTTTTTTGTCTATGCAGATTAACCCTCTCATTGCAGGAAGGTTAGAGTGTGCATGCTGTGATCTTTTAGAGAGTTACATTCAAAATTTAATTAAACCACTTTATTATCAATGAATATTAATAAAATTGGTATCAAAATGTTTTTAATAAAGCAAATTTTAATATTATTTAAGTTTTAAGCTCTTAATTTTATTAGGGCATATTTTAAAAAATCTTCAAACTCTTGTTTTATGAGAATCATGACATTTGTCCTCTAGGTCTTCTCTTTTCTTTAATTTATTTACCACCATTCTGTGAAGTATGGCATTTGACATAAATTGCTCATTATAACATAGATATTACTAAGGCAAAGTCTAATTTTCATAGCCTTTAATCCTAAAACTTTGCTTTTCTACTGGTTATGAATAGTATTGTATAAAGTGCCAATCTATCAAATGACATTATATTTTGTTGTTTCAGTTAAAAGTTAGCATAGTTAGAAAGCCATTTATATTATGATAGTTATAGGACATCGTTTGCTTTGTGAATGTTATTATGTGTCCCTAGGTGCATTATTTAAGTACATAAATATTATTTAGTGTACTAGTACAATTAGTATAAAAAAGTAGGCTTAAATTTCATCTGCAACCAACAGCAAAAAAAGGGCAATTATAGTTACTATATTTCTTGTGCATATTCTTCACATTTTGTTACAAAAGTAACTAAGATGTAAAAATTAGAAAATTTTTAGGTTAGATTAGGTAAGATATTGAACAATAATATCCTAAAAAATCTGCACGAGGGACATTCATCAACATCTAATGCATTACGTTGTTCAAAATGTAATGTGAGCTATGTGCTCATCAAGTGATTTACAACTTGTATGGCAGGATTAACTAGTTAGACACAATTCAACGAGCCATAGAACAATAAAATTAAATATAAACAGATGTTGACTGTTACAAGTCTTAAACTGTTTAAGGTAAAAACTGTAATTTTCTGTTCGAATCTGCAGTCATTCTAGAAAAAAAAAGATTTAGATTTATTTTGTATTTTTTTATGGGTGATTACAAGGTTGGTCAAATTGACCAAGTTTGGGTAGAGAAAATCACAGATAAAACAAAATTTTACTGAAAAAAAAAGTTTGATATTTACTTAGGAGGTTTTAGAGATTCTAGCAAATGACATTTTACAATTTTCAAATGAAGAAAAGTATTTTTAATATTAACGTGAAAATCATTCTGAGCAGTCAACACCATGATTCCTTATATTCAAGGGTAAATCTTGAGTAAAGTACTTAATTGAAAAATCTGATTTTTTGTGTGCAAAAGACCTGTAATGTTTACTAAAAGCATGCTAAATTTTGTAAAGATACGTAAAACATGTTAAACATTATAGTATAGAAACTATGATGGTTACTTTGAGGTTAAAAGGGTTGGTTACATCGACTAACCCTGTATGGAAAGAGGTAACATTTCTCTCTAAAATTGCAGGCTCATATGCAGAATGCTTAAGAGGAAGGGGTTCTTATTTGCAAGATCAAAAGCCAACACATATTGTGCGAAGCATAATCAGCTTGCAGAGCATGCTAATGCTTTGCGTGTCTGGGTATATGCGGCTGTTTCAAGGCAAAAAATGCTAATGCTTCATCAGAATAATGTAGACTATTTCGAAAACGTTAAATATCATTAGTAGCTGCTCTATAACTATAAGCATAATTTTTTTACATCACAAAAATAGGGGGTTCAACCAAACCATCTCAAAACCTCCTCCTGCATATGTGCGTGAAGTGCCTATAAAATTTAGTTTTAATACATACCTATCCAGAAGATTCCTGCATGAAAATAACTTCTTGAATTTAAGTTGTACTTTTAAGAATTGTAGAATCTTAAATGAAGCTTTGAGAGCTATTTTCTTACATTTTACTTTGTTGCAATAATTTGTTTATATTCTAGCTATCTTTGTTTGGTATAATATAGAATGTAATAATACTGTTAAATTGATGCATGCTTTTTTTTTATGTGAATACGTATATTGTTTTCTTTTCTTTTAAAATAAAACACAACTCAAGGTTTTTGTGTATAACGAATATTTACCAGGTGCTCTGTTTTGGAAAAAAATGCTAGTTAGAGACTCTGTCAACTGCATTAGCTCTTTTAAGAAACCCTCTTCTGGTACTCTATGTGGAATATGTGTTGCATCTAAAACTGGACAGATAAAGGTGGGGTTTCAATATCCAAATTCTTGGTTTTATTTGTCAGCAGTGTAAAATCAAGAGCTACATGTAATCCATTCAGGAGTTTTTGTAGTGTAAATATAAGCATTGAACCTGCTTGGCTCAGTTCTAACTTTCTATAAATTCAGTAAAAGTGATGTTGAACAAGCCTGTGTACTTGGATTCTAAATTATACTGTGAGAAGTATATTATAGTTGGTTGAAATATATTAACTACAGATGTTTAATGAACACCAGATTTTTTTCATCTTCAAATTGCTTTTTTTTTTCTAAAGTTTTTGGATTTGAAATCTAAGTAAAAACTTTGTCTTATTAATCCATATCATATTTTAAATCACAGATTCTGCAACATCTGATTGCTGAAAGTTTCAGTGAACTGAATAGCATTAAGTAACATTACGTATCAGAAGAACATCACACTAAGAACAACTGTACAATATAGAGAATATTAATAATTTCCATGAAGTTTTGTGAATATTCTAACCTAATCTCCTGTTATATGCAGCTTTCAAGTAATAAGGCTAATCTTTCTTCACAGTGGTTCAGCATGAAATAGAATGTCCTTTTCATAGCATTTTTTTGAGATAATAGGTAAAGAACTGCATTAAAATTATGTGAATGAATACTATGTTTACTTTATTAGGTGGTCTTGCTAGAGGATGGGTCAAACCTGTTAGATATACAAGCACTGCAAGTACGAAGAATGATAACTAGCTTGAGTCAAGTTGGAAGGTACCTTGTAGCAGGCTACCAGGATGGAACTGTTTGCTTGTTCAGTTGTAAAGGCAAAAAGTTAGTATGGTTTATTTTGTTATGATCATTAGATTTTGAGTTTATAAAGCAGTAGAAAAACCTAAGTATTTTTAGTAGAATAACTACAAAAGTTAGTTTTATCAGTGTTCCTTTTACATTGTACAACTGAAAAAAAACTTATAGATGTATTGGAGTAAAAGTTTATCTTGATTGCTTTTTTTTATATTGTTTAAAAAAGTAGCTGGATTTGTTTCTCATGTTGATTTAAAAATATTTCTGAGATGATAATCTACCTCTTCACACAGAAATGCATCCCCCTTTGGGACAGCGGTAAGTCTTTGGATTTACAACACTAAAATCAGGGGTTCTATTCCCCTAAGTGGACACAGCAGATAGCCTGATGTGGTTTTGATATAAAATAACACGCACAGAAATGCTATACGTCTCTTGCATCTCCTATGAGGTTTCCATGCCACTAGCCTTGAGCTTACTCCCACTTATATTCATATGGTGAACATAAATTGTGCTGGTACATGATGATGATTTGATCATGCAAAAACAAACCTTCACCAGTGGGACTCATGATAACTTCTCCTTAGCACTGCATTGGACAGATATGTCAACTTTTTTCTTATTTGCATTTAATTTGATGAGATTTGCAGTTGTTAATGAAACTTTGGTTTTTATTATATTTATCATTTTAGTTTTGTACACTAACAATATTACATAGCATGACCCAAGATTGAATGCTCTGTCCATGTCAGTTATACTGGGATCCTCAGTAGTCAAAGAACACATTTTTTATGGGTATTGCAGGTGATCTTCAGCATACATAGCAACTGATGGAGGTTTCCACTTTTGTATATATTATCTTCAAACAAGATAGAATCATGGGCTAAGCACGAATGGTTAACAAAGATTGTCGTCTAACCAAGTCAATGTAAAGTAAATAGTCTTTGCATAAAAAGTTGTGTATGATCTCTGAAAAGTGACTTGTGGAAGTTCTGATGGTAAGAGAACAAAGGATTCTAATGTGAAGTTTACAAAACTTAGTGTGTATGATCTCTGAGAAGTGACTTGGAAGTTCTGATGGTAAGAGAACAAAGGATTCTAATGTGAAGCTTACAAAACTTAGGAACAAGCCTGGCATTTTTATTGTAGTATCTTTTGATAAAGTTTTTGTTTGAGAAATCTATTTTTTTAGATATATGTTTCAAAACTACAGGAATATTCTTATATTAGAAGAAATAAGGTAAGGATATTTAGGATAAGTGAAAGTAGTTCTGCTCCAGCAGTCTTTTCAGGTGACAGGAGAGCTTTGTATATTTGTGCTTAATAATGAATTTGTTATCACTCAAACAACATATACAAGAAAACATTTATAGCATCCAGATAATCAGCTTTAAAATGTGTTGATCTTATTCAAACCACTTACACATTGGCAAGAGTTAATCCAGGGTTGGTGATACTGGGAAATACAGGGTGTCCCAAAATGCATATATCAAAAAGAAAGTTTAATAACATTTCTATTATTTGAGATAACAACAATATTCAAAACAAAATGTTTTCTAAAGGCTTGTAAGTTTTATTTTATTTAATTAATTAACTTCTACATGCCTTTCATCATTAGTTACAATCAATCTAATTCTGTGTTCACATTCCGAGAACACATTTTCCAATACAGCTGTAGGGATGTATACAAAGCATCACGGATACGAAGATTTGGTTCCTCAATATCTTTTGGTTTATTATGGTCGACTTTTGTTTCCAAAGGGGTTAAATCGGGGGAACACTTCAAGAGTTGTCATTTTACTCAAAAACAGAGTCAGTTCTGAAAATCTGTAGTAAAACACATTCATAAATAATAGTGATAAATAATGTAAGTAATAAAAATAATAATTAACTTAAAAAAAACTTACAAGTCTTCAGCAGTTATTTTGTTTTGAATTTTGTTGTTATCCCATATGTTTAAAAAATTATTCAACTTTCTTTTTGGTAAATTCATTTTGGGACACCCTGTATATGTATACTTGACCTAACAAGTGTTATAGCCACATCACTCATGTGGTAATGTAGAAGTATGAAAGACTCCATCTTCCATACTTAACGCTTTCAGCACAAGCTCGGTCCCTGGGGCTGACCTCATAACCATTTGGTGCTTGTTATAGTTTTGATGCTAGAACATTTAAATTATTAAGCA